AGTGCATCTACACTAATGCACACAGCATGGGCAGCAGGCAGGAGGAGTTGGAAGCCATTGTGCAGCTGGAAAACTATGATGTAGTTGTAATTGTGAAAACATAGTGGGGTGCCTCACACAACTGGAGTGCTGCAGTGGATGGCTATAAACTCTTCAGAAGGGATAGGCAAGAGAGGAGAGATGGTGGAATAGCAGTGTATGTTAGAGGGTATTTTGGCTGTCTAGAGCTGAACAATGGATAAAAATCAGGGGAAAAGTCAGTAAGGCAGAAATCATTATAGAACCTAAATTTAACTGCTGCCACAAAACCACATTGTAGACCACCCAGCCAGGGTGAAGAGACAAATTAAATATTCTATAAGGAGCTGAAAGAAATCTCATGATTGCTAGCCCTTGTTCTCATGGGTGACTCCAACTTACCAGATGCCTGCTGAAAATACAATGCAGCAAAGAGGAAACAGTCTAGGAGGTTCCTGGAGTCTGTTGAAGAAAACTTTCTGACACAGCTGGTGAGTGAACCAACTAGGGAAGGAGGCCATCTTAGGATAGCACTCAGTCAATGACAGGTTTTGATTCTTGTACACCTAAAGAGCAGGGGAGACAGCAGAACTACTACCTTGGACTTCCCTGAGTGCCTGTGTCTGGCCATTGCCAGAAGCAAAACATTGGTGTAAATGTCCCTCCTATCTGACTTAATATGGCTCTTTCTTTTTTTTTAGTCCAGTCAGTCTTACCATATTATAAAAAAAATGTTGAAATCTTCCACTACTTTATCCTCTCCCACTTCCTCCAAATAATTTCTTATCTACCAGACAACAAACTTTAAATGCAGCCTTGGAAAAGGTCTTCAGATGGTCATGCTGCTTAAGAAAAAGTGATACTGGTGCCAGCCATTTTTGTAAGAAAGAGTACTGATAGTTTAATGACTATCTAGAACACTTAGAATTAATGCTGTTTATATTAATATAAGTAAACAGTTCCATTCTATATTCATTAGCATACTTTGGACAATCCTTTCAGACAAGTCTGAAATGGACTTGGAAATGTAGGGTAACCATGATTGTCTATATAGCTTCAGGTTTTACTATAATATGACCTGTGGTTTCGTGGCAGCAGTTATATTTGGGTCCACATTAAACTTTGTGTATATATCAGAGTTCATAATGTCAACTAATGCAGCTTTCCCTTACGTTCATTCCAGTTTCTTTAAAGCTAGTTAGTTACAAAGTGGTAACAGGGAATGAATTTTGGGATAGGACTCATTTGTGTGTAGATGGGTAGGTACTACCACATGAGCTGGCCTAGAGAAAATGAGATTATTGCGTAGTGGTATTTCATAAACAAGCAGAATATTCTGCCCTTCTGACAGAGCATGTGAAGGTCAAGTGTTAAACCAGAAGATATCTAAAATGGCACCACCATATGCATGTTTAGGCAACTGTATTCCAGTGTGTATGTCATGTCATCATTATGCTTGTCTTCTTAGCATTGCAGAAGAGAATCACGCATCATTTGAACATTGCAAATACTGAGTTTTCATCATAAAGATGAAAATAAATAAAAAATGTTATTTCAGTATGATGTAGTTTAAGCCCAGCTGTTAACTCAGAACCACGCAGTTGCTTTCTCACTCGCCTTCTTCTTCCCCACTGCTCCCAGCGGGATGGGGAGAATTAAAACAATGTAACTCCCACGGGTTGAGATAAGAACAGTCCAGTAACTAAGGTATAATACAAAGCTACTACTGCTACCACCAATAATAATAATGATAAGGGAAATAACAAAGGGAGAGAATATAAAACTAAAAGGAGAAAAGGTAAAAAAAACGATAAATACAAATGATGCACAATACAATTGCTCACCACCCACTGGCTGATACCCAGCCTGAATCCAGCAGCGATCTGGCCTTCTGGGTACCTCCCACCAGTTTATATACTGGGCATGACGTGCTGTGGTATGGAATACCCCTTTGGCTAGTTTGGGTCAGGTGTCCTGTCTGTGCTTCCTCACGGCTTCCCATGCCTCTCCTCACTGGCAAAGCATGAGAGACTGGAAAGTCCTTAATCAGAGTAAGGGCTGCTTAGCAACAACTAAAAAAATCAGTGCGTTACCAGCATTCAGTTCTCAGACTGAAGTCAAAAACAGAGCACTGAACCAGCTACTAGGAAGGAGAAAAACAAGTGTTACTGCTGAACCCAGGACAAAGTATTAGTTTCTACAAGCTCTGAGAATGCATATTTAGTATTTACATTGCAGATAGGCTGGAGACAGGGACAGTGCATACAATCTCTACCATAAATCTGTGCTAAGTCGTTTTCTATCACTGCTGCTTAGTCCAGATCATGACACCCACATTTGTGTGGTTTTATTATTGCCAAAATTATTTTCCTTTCATATCTTCAACCTCAGTGGATAGTTCAGTATTGCTTTGAAATTCATGGAAGCTAGATTTACAAACATGTTTAACTTCCTGTTGAAGGTCAACATTTGAAAATCAGATGCTTATTCTAACTTACAAAATAGGAAATGGAGATCCAGACTGTAGCATCTGTAATGCATCCTGCAATTAGACTAGCAAAAAAAAAGGGGGTTTGCCCTACTGCACTGTGTACTCAATTTTGGACTTATATTTAGAGAATAGTTGTCTCAGGAAGACAAATGAGGCAGTACAACCTGAAGGTGAAAAGAACTCAAACAGATGGATCAAGGTTTCTTAGGAGACATCTGGCAATGTCCATACGTAATTCTTTGTGGTCCTTTGCTACTCATGTTGCCTGTGTGCTTGTGCTAGCCCAATGCTGTTTGACACAGACACAAGACCAGAATGAGGCCACGTGTTGAAGCAACTGGTACAGTACTGCATAAGCAATCTTAGGTATTAATTTCCATACATTTTACACAATCAAACTAATGTAAAGCTTTTATTGTGATTAAATATAGTTTTTAATCACAGCTAGTCCCTTAAAGATGGCAATTCAGGAAGTACTTTTTCACTCAGTGATGTATGAAGCAGTCATTTGTGCAGCTTTATTCCAGCTGAGTCCGCTGTTTGAATTATACACAGGCCACTCAGAAGAAGTTTCCGAAGCAGCCCTTCAATTGGTCCTTTTGTGCTCAAATTTTACCTCAGTTGTCATATTTCAGAGCTGAGCATCCACCTCAGATTGATTCTCCCACTCCAACAGCATCTACCAGAATGGAAAAGGAATTTGGTTGGTTTTCTGGAAGTAGCCCCACAAAATCCCGCACCAGCCTGGTCCCCCAGAATTGATGCTTCACCAGACTGCAGCTGTGAAATACAGATCATCTGCCCTCTTTGGTAAAGTGCTGAAAGCTAAAGGCAAAAGCTAGCTTCTTAAGTTGCTCGGGAGCTTCTTAAGTACTGTGTGGAGTGTGACAAATTTTGCCTGTGTACATTTTAAGATCTTCTAATGATTATACCTATTATGATCTATGCACTTAACTGTTGTCTTGCAAGCATGCAACTTGGGAGTTTCAGAAGGTGTAGGGGTGAACAAAATACTGTCTTCTGTTGACATCAACACTGGACTGCTAAAGTAGCTGCAGCCTGTCAATGTGCTAAGAGGTAAACAGGGATTTTCTTCCAGTCCATCAAGTCTGTATCCATGATACAGTCATGATGTAAGGGCCTGAGCTAAGATTTTGGCTTGCTTCTGTGAGTACTGATTAGTTCAGGCAGTTGAGTAGTTGAACATTTCAGGAGCTCATAATAGTGGCATAATTAAGACTAGTTCTTCAATCAAAATCAGCAGTAAGTAGAAAATGTCTCAACAATACCAACATGCAGTGACATTTCATCAATAATGCTTTGCTTAGAAAAAATAACTGACATGGTGATTCAAATGACTGCTTCTCATAGCATTGTCATCAGGCTTATGTAAACAATCTTAAGATCAGACAATAACTGACAAGAAACTTATAAATCTTATAAAAAAATAATAAAAAGTTAAAAAAATAAAAAATAATATATTATAAATCTGTGGGAAGAATAACTTGCACACTGAAGGGAGGACTGAATTATCAATTATTACCTTTTTGTAAAAGTAGAAAATGAGAGTATTCCTAAATGTATACGTCATGATCTTAAACAAAACCAGTTTTCACCAGGTACTCTTTTCTGGACTTTAGCTTTCACTGAGCTCTGTAGGAAGCTCTCTAGGAATCTTTCCACAGGCTCAATAGGGTTTGCATTACATGCATTTAATGAAAGAATCACTTAGACCATTTTTTCTGTAGCCTTATTCTGTAGTATAAGTTAGATCCATGTGGAATTCTCTTAGAAGTTCAAAAGTAATCTAATACGTACACCCAAAAGGTTGAACCATGCTTACTCTGTTTTCTTTTTGTGGCAGTCTCAGGGGGCTCCATTTTGTTACCAGAAGCAGCCTAAGGAAAGAGAAGTTTGTGGCAGCCAAAAGGTTTTCTATTGTCAGAGAAGGTGCCTGTACACCTATGCTGTAATAATGGTGGCAGGTGAATGGCATACACATAAAAGGAGGCTAGAGATTGATGAGAAAATCAGTTACACAAATAGGAGAGGAATGTCTTTCCTGCAGTTTTAGCACCAAGTTATTAAAAAGACTGCTGTATTATGGATGGTCTAAACATGACAGGCTCGGGCTGGAGATAAGGAAAAAGCCTTTTCTCCAAGAGAACAGCCTAGTAGTGGAGCTGGTGAAGTGGTGGAGCTGGGGCTCAGGGAGGCCCAGGGAGGTCTTTCTCTCTAGAGACCAGCATCACAGTCAGCATAGCTGCAAATGGCCATCCTCAGGCAGCCTGTGCAGCAGGGATACCTCATAGTCTGGCAAAAATATTTTTACTGTGTCCTAGTTAATGTTGTTAGGTAGGTGTGGTGGTAATGCAGTGTTTTCAGACCCCATGGATTCTCACCAACAGCACAGTCCTCGGACTCCTATTTAAACAAACCCTAACCTCATTCATCCACTTTAATATTCTACTCACTGTGGCTTTTCTTACAGAATGAAGAGGATGAGGACCAGCCTCTTAGCCTGGCCTGGCCTGACACCCCACGCAAGCAGCTCACCTACCTTCTTGTATTACCCATTGTTTTTCCACTGTGGGTTTCACTCCCAGATGTCAGAAATCCTGTAAGTAACTGTCATTGTATGTCAGTATGTTTTGCACAACAGAGTGGCTCTCTATCTAAATCCCAGAAATGGACTGTAGTGGATTTATGTTAAACTAGAGATAATGACTTTTTTTGATAGTTTCTTCTTTGAAGAAGAAGTCACAAGGTCAGTCTTCAAATCTTATGGGTGCTTATGGGCAGCGGGTTAGTAATAGCTCTATAAAGGTTGCCATTCATATTCACTAATATTTTATGATACAAAGTGAAAGCTCTTGAAGCTTCTTTAGGGCCTTCACATTGGCATTTCTAGATCCCTACTGAATATCACATAATTGATGATGAAGTCTGTCCATCTCCAGTGCACTAAAAAGTATAAGTGGAAAGATTTTAGTCTAAATTTTCTCTGTGTTTCGAAAGTAATGAATATTCTTTTAAATGAATGTTTTACTAGACCTTTCTCTTCTACTAATTATCTTCTAATCTTTATAATACAACAAGATGCGTAAGTCCTTCTGTGTGTAAAATACTTGCTAGCTTTGTCCCAAACTACAGCTTGAAGTAGTTTAAGACTGATTTTTGATACAAATGACTTACTGTTATCAATTCTTACCACTTTAACATATACAAAGAGAACAGACTGGGGAGACTCATGGAAAGTAAAAGTTAAAAAGACAAGAACTGAAAAAATCCTATTATAATTTTCTAATCACTTTTCCTATTTGTATCAAAAAATGGATTTTACACTGCTGCAAGAAGGGATGTGCAGTTTATAAATCAACACCCTGAATTCTTTTCCCATACTCACACTCAAAAACTTTCCCGTAGCTCACACTGAAAATCTGCAATTCAGTGCAAGAATCAAGCTAAAATAAGACATCTGATCTGGTTTTAGATAAAGGTTTCTGACATTTTCCTTTCCAGTCTTTAAGCTTTCTTTTCTTCAAGTTTTCAGTCAACTCTAGTGAACACTTCTTTTCTGGTAGCACATAGAGCATACTTAATGAATTTCAGGATTGTTTATTTCTGTATCTATGCCCTCATTTTATTGTTCAAACCCATCCCTGTAATTTTTTTTTCATAATCTGGCCCAAAATGAACAAGTACTGCTAAGAAATAATCATGTGCATTATTTTGTATTTTGAAAATCTGAAGTTGACATCAATAGACATGTAGCTTTGTCCAGTATTCTGTACTGTACAAATGAGAATAGTGGTTTTGTAAAGTGATATCTCACGAAGCTGCATGCAATTGTGTGATGCATTTGATTATTAACAATAGTACTGTTCACAGCAAGGCTTGCATGCTGACATCCTACAACTAAAATATCCTGCCATAGCACAAAAGATAAGCCCAGATATGTCAATGGCAACAAAGTTTTAAAATTTCATTCACTGAAAGGAGTAGCTGTTTATACAGAAGTAAAAGAAATGCAGTTTGTGGTTACATGTAGTAATAATAGAAGAGGTAACAGGCTGTATCAGTATGACAAGCTACTTACTTTGAACATTGCTGTCAAAGAATTAACCAGATGGTTGCATAGACCGTCTAACTTTTCAAGGATACTTCATTAGTGTGTTTATCTGTGAAGTATTCTCACTTATGCCTAGGTGCCATCCCTGGTAAAACCTAGTAACACAGCTCAGCATGTGCATCAGAAAACAACTTTTCATGAAATCTGTGAGGCCAAAGTTAAACCTAAAATAATACTTTAATAGATTTTGTAGGCCTATCATCAGGGCTTGTTTTGCAAATGTGGTAATTTTAGTCAGAAAGCCAAATTCTGCATCAGGATGTTCAGATTAGCATGTGGGTATACAAAATGAACACTTGTGTGCTATATACTGATTAGAGGGACCATATGGAGCCTTTGCCATCCTCTGTGGGAGTCCACTTTTCAAAAATGAGTTCTCCTTTCTTCCTAGAGTCTCTTTCCTAAAGTATGTTTTATCTGCACATAATGGAGATGGTTTGACTGCATTTACTTGTACTATCCCAAGCTATATTTACATCCACGAGACCCAGAAGCTTTAGAAAAATTGTTTAATATACAAGGTCTCCAGTTACAAAGTTATCAAAGTCCTTGCTGCCTTATGTTCTTGTGCACATATATGCAGGTTTTTGTACACTTAGAGTAGATTATGCATTAATTCAACTAACTCACAACTGATTCAATAGCTGGCATGTTTTAATGTGTGTTTAGTGCCTTAATCATACTTGCTCATATTAAGCCACTATATATTAAAATCGTTACTATAACATCAATAATGTTGCTGGCAGTATACCAGGAGTAGGTGTGCCTTGGGGAATTTTGTACCTGACTTTTTGTTCAGGTGTTTTGAGCAACAACAGGCATTTTTCCTGAACGAATAGCTTATTTCCCCAGTGCCTCTGTAAAAGCCACAAACATTAACTGTCCCACCTCCTGCAGTAAGAGCTATTGAAATATTGAAAGGAAAATTGACACAACCAAGGTGGCCCAGTGGATCAGTGGCAGATATTGAGTACCACCTCTGTTACTGTAGCCATGCTGCGCTGTCCATCTCTATGTTACAGGTCATAAAAATGGCCATAGGGGCTGCAGTCCTGCTGTCGCTGGACCCGTATGGTGCAGTTTGTTGTAACCCTGCAAAGTTCCATTACCAACAAGGAGGAACAACTTACATGAACTCTTGTTGCCATACAGAGATGCACTGTTACCAAGGGGAAAAGGACAAGATGTTCCTGCACAGATCCCATTACAGGAGCAGGTTCTGAGTAAACAGATTTAATCACTGTCAAGTATGAAAGGAAAATCAAAGCTAGAAATGCAGATAAATTTATGTGGGAGACAAACATTCATTCAGGTTAAAGGTAAAGTAGGTGATAATACTGGCTAACAAGAAGATAGATACTTTGCAAATTATTAAGCACTATTTTTTAGTATCAGGCTCTTAGAAGAAAAACCTTCATACTTGAAATATTCTTGCTACTTAAAGTCCTGTTTTCAGACAGGCATGACATCAATACAGAAATGTACCAAGAGAAGTGTCCTTGAGATTACTGACAGACAGAAACAGTACCAATCTGACCAAACTAATGTGAAACCACAAAATTATTTCTCTTCTGTTAAAAGAGAATAGCATATGAACTGAATCAGCCATGGCTTTTTCTCATTTGTCTGTTACCATGACCACAACAGAATCAACTGGTAATACACTGGGCTCTCTGTCTTTATAAAGCAACCATGACAACAAGAAAAGGTGAAGAGAGTGGTTGCTGTCTGCTGTCTCTGACTAATTCTTCCAGGAAAATGCTTGGAACTGACGTGTCTTTATATTTCAAGAACTAGGGAGTTGCAAAGAGGTAAATCTTGAAAAAAAATGCTGTCATTAGTTACAAAACGAGCATGATTATTATTATTATTATTATATTCTGGGAAAAAAAAAATCCAGCATCCAATAAAGAATCAGCACTCTCATTACTGCTTTTTAAAAGTTTCATCTATATGCAAATGTCCTGGGTTCCACTGTAACAGTTGTTTTTCTCCTTCCTAGTAGCTGGTGCAGTGCTGTGTTTTGGCTTTAGTTTGAACAATGCTGATAACACACCGATGTTTTAGTTGTTGCTAAGTAACGCTTACTCCGATCAAGGACTTTTCAGTCTCTTACGCTCCGCCAGTGAGGAGGGGCACAAGAAGCCGGGAGGGAGCAGAGACAGGACACCTGACCCAAACTAGCCAAAGGGGTATTCCATACCACAGCACGTCATGCCCAGTATATAAACTGGGGGGGAGGTACCCAGAAGGCCAGATCGCTGCTGGATTCGGGCTGGGTATTGGTCGGCGGGTGGTGAGCAATTTTGTTGTGCATCACTTGTGCTTATTGTTTTCTTTTCCTTTTCCCCCTTTCAGTTTTATGTTCTCTCCTCTTGCTATTTCCCTTATCATTATTATTATTGGTGTTAGCAGTAGTAGTTTTGCATTGTACCTTAATTACTAGACTGTTCTTATCTCAACCTGTGGGATTTACATTCTTTCAATTTTCCTCCCCATCCCGCTGGGAGAGGGGGGGAAGAGGAGGGGGAGTGAGCTGCTGTGTGGTTTTGAGTTACTGGCTGGGCTTAAATTGTGACAGCAGATTATATAGCACCACCTATGGAGCCCGGTCTTGATTTCATCACCTGTAGTATGTACAAGCTTTAAATTTTGCCCTTCTTGAGTTAAATGTTCCACCTTTTAAAACAGGTAATTAGACTTCTAAACCTTTTAAGTACTCTTAGTCTTGAACTGCTGCTCATCAGGTAAGTTTACAGGGAGAGGACTGGCTAAGACAGGCTAGGAATACACATGATGCAAAGTTACTGACTTGTCATTCTTAGCCGTCCAAATTCTGTGGGTGTCTCACTCAGGCAACGTCCTGTTATTTTGCAAGAACCATTTGGTATATATGTTCACACTTACAGACAGCTATTACTGCCCAGTACAGCTCTTGCTGTATTAGTTTTTCATAAGCCAATGTATACTAATATCATGAGTGTTGTATGATGATTATTCAAATTGCATTGCTAGGAGGTGCTCTGTGTAGATTTTGTGACCAGTTACAACAAACTTATAATTTCATCATCTCTTTCACCGCATGTGTTGCCAGAAAATCACAGCTTTTACAAAGAGGACAAAAAATGTTGAAAGTTGAGAGAGGTGGCTACTAAGAATGGTGAAAAAGAAGTGCTAGCTGTTCAGTTAAAAAAAAAAAATAACAAAACTAGCTAGGTTCATTTATTCCTTCCAGACTCAATTGTACTCACACTGGTGTCAGACCACCAAGAGCCAATTTGTGTTCCTTACAAATGGTATTCCATTTCAGACTAGGGTCTTCTCTTCCACAGTGCATATAAAGTTTTGATTTGAAAATGAAAAGTGCATCTGAGTAGGTTTAAATATCAGAAGCTCATCATTAGATTTTCTGATTCGATAAAGATTTAGAACTCTGATTGTTCTAAATAATTGGTTGCTCTGTAAAGAGTTAAGAAGGATTTAAGAAGCAGGTCAACCAAAGTAGCCTGGGACATCTCTAGAAACAGTGCTTGTGACAGTAATGGAATTTATAGATGTAGAAAAGGAAAAGGATGTTTCCAGGTGCCACTGGGGCTATTTGTGCCTATAAAGATAACTAATTTAAGACACCTACTGCAATTATTTTCTTACTCCAACAGAAGTTTAATTTTTTTATTTATATGTAAGGGATTTTCCGAGCATTGTTAAATCTATTTCATATTTAATGTCTGTTCATGTGCATATTGAGTTGTGGAATTGTATAGGTCATGTTAATCAGTGCTTATGAGCTCAGTTTTCAGGACGGCATTTAGCATTAGGCAAAGTGCCTGCAGGGAGAGAGTAAGTGCTCTATAGCACAGCTCGCAGCTGTACCTGCTGCTAGAGCAGATAATGGACCTTCTAAGTGTCCAGTCCTGTTAGTGAGTGTGCACAACTGCTATTGCTGACTTTTACCTTTTTCCCATTAGTAATGACCTCATTTCAGTCTGTTTACGTTAGCAGAGTCTACACAATTTCAATGAGCTGCAGACCAGCCTTGCTCTTTTCTGGGTCCGCTGAGTGTCATTCCTGCATTACTAGCTCTTTAACAACCAGCTCAACTCACTGAGCACCTCTTACTCCCCAGGGACCTATGCTGATCAGTTCCTAAACATTAGGTTGTTCTCTGTAAGTGGCTCTTTTGTCTGTTACACAAGAAAAGATGGCTGTACAGCCCTCTAAAAAAAAGAGGCGTTTATCATGACTTGAGCAAACTGAATTAGCAAACATCAAATAATATTTTCTCTCCAAAAGTCGTGTTTGGGGAAAGCCCTGCAGTCCTGTCTGCTGTCACAACACCTAGGAATGACCCCCAGGCTAATGCATCTGCTGGTGCTGCAGGGGTATGTCTTGCAATAGAGAGAGGTACAGGCAAGGTGTGCTGCCCAAAAACTCTGGAGGACCCTCTGTAGAAAAAAGTGGAAGTGAATAGTGAGGAATTACCAGGAAATGGTAGTTCAGGATCGAGCAGCAGCTGGAACAAGTATTCAAACAAGTATAATTTACTTCCAAAAGCAGTCCTACTGATTATTCATGAAAATTTGTAGTACTCTAGTAGCGGCACATCAGAACTTGTCTGAGGTAAGGATCTGTGTTCAGAAGGTCAGTGCCCATAAGGACTGTGGTTTCATTCAAGACTGGTAGCACCCATTCTTAGTGCATATGTCATTTTAAACACTAATTAGATTTAGACAATGATTGCCTAGTACAGTACTGCAGTTGGTTTTCCTTCCTTTAGTAGTTAACTTGATCTCTTTTTGTTACGTTCTGAGAAACAAATAAAAGTACAGCATGTCATCCGTCAACATAGGTATTCACTGTCTCTCTCTGTTTCTGTTTCAGAAATCAAGAAAATTTTTTCCTATCACATTTTTTGGCTCTATCAGCTGGATTGCATTTTTTTCTTACTTAATGGTCTGGTGGGCACATCAGGTAAGGAGGTAACAAAATACAAAATACAAGCCCTGCATTGTGTTTTGCACTGTGAGACATCATTTAGAATCAGAGTCCATCATCTATTGCATGCTGAGTAGTGCTTTATTTTTGGAACTACAACCATGGATGAAGTAAATTACTACTCAGAAAATGAAATGAGGTTCTGAGAATTGTGGTTGTCTTGACCGTAGGACTTGATCATTCTGGTAATGTCAGAGCCATCAGCAACTGCTTGTCTGTACCTACTGGTTCTATTTGACAGTCTTTCTCCTGAAACATGTAGAAATCTGTGAATATGAATAATTCTTCAATCTTGCCTGTATTATCCAGGTGATATTATTATTGTTGTTATTATTATTGTTGTTGTTATTATTTTCTGGGTTTGCTTAAACCCTTTAGGTTGGAGAGACCATCGGTATTAGTGAAGAAATCATGGGACTGACTATTCTAGCTGCTGGCACATCCATTCCTGACCTTATTACCAGTGTTATTGTTGCCCGTAAAGGTCTGGGGGACATGGCTGTATCCAGTTCTGTTGGAAGCAACATATTTGACATCACAGTGGGGTAAGTCCTACAGCAAGAAAATTGTCTTTTTTAACAACTCTTTCGTTCTTAGCATGTTGCTGTGGTTTTGCCAAGGTGTTGCCTACAATTGATGCTGAAAAGCGATGCCACTGAAGCTGAAAATGGAGAATGATGCAAATATGAAATGGATGTTACTGTGCTAAGTTCTCAAAAGTTTATAGACATTTGCATGACAGAATTGTTACAAATTTGTTGCCTAATTCACTCTTTGATACACCGCTTCACAGCAGCTCTAGCATAATAATGTGTGGCATATGGTTGGCATTCAGATTCTGTTTTGACTTTTTGAGACCGAGTTAGAGGAGGTCCAGAAATGTGATCAATGCCTCAGTGTTTCAAAACCATGCAGGAAATATACAGACAAACTGTCTTTATTCCCACGTTTCCATCTTCAACACAGGAATAGAGGCACTGAGAATCATGTCCGTACTCTCAGTTTCTCCATCTTTGATTTTTGTTTCCTCTCACACATGCAGAAGAACAGGTCTAGTCATAGTCACAGTTTTGAGCAGCCTAGTCAGGTCATTATTTCTTGCTGCTGAAAATATACCAGCAACTGAACAGATACAGAAAGGGATCCTGAAGTTAGAGTGGATTGTAAATGGCTTTTTTAATCTGTTAGCTAATGGCAGTACCTTTGGACACAGCATTAAAAATGGGTTACTTTTTTCTATTAATCCAGAAGCATCAGAAGTACAAAATCTATAGGGGGCATTGCAAAAGGGTGCATAGGGTGCATTGCAAAACTTTTCTCTTTTGCCGTACCTTCTTAATTTTCTTAAAATTTGTAGTCTTCCTGCCAATGTAAATGTTCTTGTCCTGTACACATCTGCTAAACCTGGTATATTTACATCAGAAATGGCACAGTTGAGCTGTAGTCTGGTGTAGTTAGTATTGAAGCTGTAACAAATTATTCTCTCTTGAACTGCTTATTCAAAGGTTGAATGCTGTAAGCTTCTGACAGCCTTCTTCATGCTTCCTAAGCCTGCTAAGCTCTGATCAGTGGCTTAAATATTTATTTCAGCTTGACATCTTCCAGAGGGATGTTGCCTCATTCTGTGGCATCAGAGATGAGAAATGCAATGACAGCAAATACAGAAATAGAAATTAAGCTGGAGTTCATTTGAAGTTCGCATTTTACATAGAGTTTATACCATAAATGTGGATCAAAGCTTTTATAGGACAAATTGCCTTACAAAGTGATGGTTCTTTTTGGCAAGGATGTGTCTTTATGTGACCTACTGTCCTGTCACACAGACTCTTGGAAAGAGAGTGTAAGTAGTTCTTCCACACATGGTCTGAAATCTAAAAACAAATGAAAGGGGTCTTCCTGCTCACAGATGGGATTCCAGGTGATTTGACGGCCAAGGGAAATAGAATTCACCAATGTAACTGGTGGAAGAGTAGAGAGCCTAAATCCTGTGTATTCTCCTTGGGAACCATGAGCAAGCTAACAAAGATTTGTGTACGTATTAGAAGAGTTGAAAATCTTCCTGCCTCTCTTTCTGCAGGAAGCCTCTGGTGGTATTTTGGAGTGTCCCCAGAAGCTTTTTCGTGACTTTTCCTGCACCTCTGCAATGGTTCACATTTATTTTTTTATTTCTTAACAGCCTGCCTCTTCCATGGCTCCTGTACGCTGTCATTAACAGCTTTGCCCCGGTGACAGTCAGCAGCAACGGTCTGTTCTGTGCAATTGTCCTCCTTTTCATCATGCTGCTCTTTGTCATCCTCTCGATTGCTTTCTGCAAGTGGAGGATGAATAAGTTCCTGGGTTTCCTCATGTTTGGGCTTTATTTTGTGTTCCTGATTGTCAGTGTCCTCCTGGAGGACAAAGTGATCCAGTGTCCTGTCTCCATCTAGTGAAAAATGCTGTTTTGAGAAAAAAAAAAGAAAAAAAAAAGGAAAAAAACCCAAACCAACCAAACAAAAAATAAACAACTTAAGAAAACAGCCAAAGCCAAACAAAAATAAAAAAACCAAACCAAAACCACAAACAAAAACCAAACCACCCTCCCCTCATCCAAACCCACATATATTTATTTAAATATGTATATACATCAATATGAAACAGCAAAAACCCACAATGGAAAGTTTCTGTGAGAATAGCCTATGGACTCCTAAATTTCCTCTCACCCATTTTCAAAAGAGAGAAAGAAAGAATAGGATACAAAGGATGGATCCCAGAGCTGAAGAATGACTGCTGTTGGACAATCCAATCACAAGCGAAGGACTGAGTCCAGCTGCGCTGAGGTTTTCTTTGCTGCAGAGCATCCTCACCACTCAGAACCAGAGATGCTGCTCATGCACAGAAACAGTGAAAGCTACAGCTTCTCCTATGAGTATGTACCTATCCACAGAATTCTCATTCTCTGTTTTAGTATACACAGATACATACACAGTGTGCTCAGTTCTCAAAGCTTTGATCTTGTAAGGGAATGTTAATACTAAATTTATGAAAACATCACCCCCACACACACCCTGGTGTGGGAGTTTTCTGATAACCTGCTGAAACTCCTGAGTGGAAAGCATACACCAAGCGCATGAGTAGCAGACAGGGGAGAGAAGCGTCTCTTCCTGTAAGTGAATTTATATGATGTGATTTCAGCAAGGACAGGGTATTTGTAAATAGTTTCATCCTCTGTATAGCAGGTCCGTAAAGGCAATTATCAGGATGTTAGTGGTGGTTTATTACATCTTGCAAAACTCTTCAGATTCCAGAAACTCTTGCTCTGGCACTGAAGGGGCCACACTAGCTGGGCCTGGCCATTTTGTGATTAGTGCTGTAACTTGTGCATTTTTTTAACTGCATTCAACGCAATGCAGTGGCAAAGACGAGAATGGGGATACTCTGTCTTTAATAGTTACGCAACATGCAGACACCATACAGCTACTGTGTGAACACAACATTTTTTGCAGCAATACAAGCAATAATAATATTTGGATGCTGTTATCATAATGAGTTTGCCTTTACATGCCAGAAGAAAAAGGTTAATTTGCTTATGCGTAGTACTTCATACAGAAAATAGAGGTAGTTGAAAAGTGACAGCCTAATTGCTGAAGTAGATATATATTTTACAGGCTTTCACTATTACTTGGAGTGTAAGGACCTTCACAGCTACATGTAGCTATTGCTGGAAGAGATTCCCAGCTGATGTACAAAGCTGGAGCTCTTATATATCTTTTGCTCTTTGCTCTTATAAATCTTGAAACTAGGTAGGAGAAACTAACAATTTAAATATAGTGGAACTGCAGGAAACATACATAATTATTTTCCAGTATTGCTGAAAGTGTGTCTGAAGAAGCCAAGGAAGGAGTGAAAATACAATATTATTTTACTGAAATCCTGAGAGAAGAAGGTCCCAACCTAGAACAAAAAAAGTAAGGAGAGAGAAAGCAACAAAGTGTTTGTCTTTCCTGTAGTTTGGATTATTTTAAAAACAAAACAAAAAAAAAAACCAAAAACAAACAAAAACAAAAAAGGAGGACTGAAACCAGTGTTATGAAAATATTTGTGATAATCATCATTTGTTTGTTCAAGTTATCTGTGCAGTTCAGAGTTCATGAAATTTCAGCACATTTCTGTGACCTGATTCAGCATTGCTTTGTATTCATATTGTGCTCACAATGGCAATGCCATGCTCACAGCTGTGTAACAGAAGGCTCAGCACATTTTGTCTTGTCTGTTTTTCTGTGTTCCATGCTGTTTGCTTCTCACTCATCTCCTTTGTCATTTACTGTTTTCCTGTTATATGTGTTTTTATGTAACAGTATCTGGTTAGATGAGGACTTGACAGAAAACAATGGTAGAGGAAACTAAAAAAAATACATAATAAAATTACTAAATTGTTAATATCATGTGGTATCATGAAAAAAAAAAGTAATATAGCAAGAAAACTAGGAGTTACAAAGCCTGCTACTCATGTCTTGTCCTGAGGTATCAAGTCCTAGTTATGTTCAGAATCAGTGTTTGATCTTAACCTTACGTTTGCAACAACTCTTGCTTCTTAGCGCTTGTTAGTGTGAGCTTCTTTCATTGTGAGCAAAAAGTTGGCTGTGTATTTAAGATATTTCGTTGCTCCAGAATCCTTACCTGTCTTAACGATTATGTTGTCCACCTCTTAACATTTGTTTCTGCGGGTGTACACCATGGGAAGACTGAGGGGACGGTGTATACACTCGCACCTCTCACACCTCTCTCTATGTGTATCTACAGTGCCCTCTACTGACTGAAACAGCAATCTTTCAAAAGCAGCTCTAACCCAAATTCTGACCTCAAATGGAGCAAGTGTCCCAAAAATACAGAGCTGACTCCACTGTGTAATCTGTTCCAGAGGAGTCACCAAATGCTTTTATTTCAGATGGCAAAGCTCAAAACAGGTGATCCTTTTCCCAAGTGTGCAGAACAAAACAGAGCAAACTAAAAGAGCGTGTGCAGGATCATGATAGTTCTGTGTATATAGGTGCTTACGATAAACTAAGATACCCAAATTCACTGGCCTGACATTTCAAATCTAGAAACCAGGGAAGGGCAAGAGTAGAGCTCTGTTCAGTAAATTACTCTTTTTCTGTTGGGTTTTTGGTTGGTTGATTGGTTTGATTTTTGGTTTTTTTTTTGAGGTTTTTTGGGTTGGTTGTTTTTTTTTTTGGTTAGTTTTCTGTTTGTTTTTTGGGGGTTTGGTTGTTTTTTTTTGGGGGGGGGGGGGTGGTTTGGGGGTTTTTATGACCTTATGGCCAGCAACACCAGATTGGCAACACAGCAAGGAAGATAAACTGCAAAATCAGGTTAAACAGCCAGCTCTGTGGCACCATAACACCTGCAGAGAACCAATTTTGGACATTGTTTTTGGAAGGGATTTCCAGTAGCATTTGGGTAGGATCGTGGGTCAGATTGCAATTAAAGATTTGCTGCACTAACTTCATTGGAATTAATGAAGAAAATAGCCCCAGCTCTACAAAATACCACTGGAGTTTGAAGAGTACTCACAGTTTTCCACTAAAAAAGAAATGAAAAAAAAGCCACCCTGACTTCTCTCTCCAGAAGCCACCATGGTCAAATCTATAGGGTAAATGCTATAAAACTGTGATAAAGAGAGTGGTAAGAGGATGATCTCAAGAACAGGGTTCTTATATAGACATGGCAAAATCTTTCAGCAAGGCTCAGTATAGTTTAGATTAACTACTTTACTGAAAGCTAGTGCTTGTAGTGCAGACAGGCTCTCTGAGTCTGTATGCCGCTGCTTATTCATTCCATTGATGTGGCTTTCTGCATAACCATGAAGCATAAAGCACAGTGCGTGACAATGCAGCTTACTTAGATGTCCTTTGGTGTTCGTAATGGCGATGAACCTACCTTGTAATTTCCTAATATGCTACTCTGAAGTAGTTTATGGTCGTTGTCACTTATGGTACTGTTGTGTGTGGATATGAAGGTCCATAGTGCAGTAGGTTAAATGTGATTAATCCAAGTACTGTATAAAATTAGTAGATGCTTAGAAATATTCTTAGTGTTTGGGTGTCTCTTAAGGGATTATTTCTCTGGATGTCTCTCATTACGTGTTTTACAAAAATGGGGATATACAACATTTTTTGATTATTCTTCTTTCAGCAGTAATTCCTTAAGATAGCAACTTGTGGTCCATATAAATTGTGTTTTGAATCAAACATTAATCTGTATCAGGTAGATTTATTTAATTTATAGCAAAGAAATAATCCCTTCTCCAACAACTGGCCCACTGAAATCCCAAAGATTTCTGCCATTGACTTGGGAAGATACAGATTTTTATTATAGGAGTCCGTATTTCATAAATGCATTTGCATAACAAACGTAATTGTCCTGGGATCGATGAGCAAACAGAAAAATTGGATTCACTTGTATTCTTGGAAACCATTTTACCTCTTGTAAATAACAATGACACAACTAACTGAGAAAGAGGCATGGTTAGTTCCTTTAAGTAGGTGATTCTTGTTTTCCTGCTATTCCGGGGAAGTTTAGTGCAATAACTTGCAGCTAGAAAAAATGATTTTGAGATTAGCAAATGAGATAGCTTGCACTTGGCAGTGTGGAGAAGAGTCCTGCTCCAGCCCTACAAACTTCTGATTGATGTTAAAATGATCTTTCTTGGATCTGTTGCCATCAGTTACAAGAATATCAGTACTGAGATATCTGTCTGTCACTTACATCAGGACTGGGAGAGTAATTTTTCCAGAGTGAAGTTATCCAGCTCAGTGCCCTCATCAGATACAGAAGTCATATATGGATCACAGTGCTGTAGTCCAGACAAGTTATCCTGTGGATCTGCTGTTGCTAGTTGTCAGTGTGTGGAATCTCAGGACTTGTCTGCCTGGATGGGTGCAGATGATAGTTTGCATCTTCTCCTGCCCATGCTTTTGCCTGGCTGGACGTAAGCCATGTGTTCTCCAAAAGCCACATAACCACATTAGCATGGCCCTGAGCCCATGCTCCCAGCCAGCCAGGTAAGACCCAGCCTAGAAACCACTTGAAGCATGAGTAGCTGAGACACACAACTGGCCACATTGTTCCTACAGGCACAATAAGTGGCCCAGGACCAAACTGAATAAGAAATAATATAATTCAAGATTGGTAAATGAACTCTCATGTGGATTTATTATCCACTAATCCAAACAAATTTTTACGTGTTTTTAAAGATCTTGCACTTTACTGTGGGTTGTTCTTTTTTTTCATTTATTTTTATTTTATGTCACATAGTTGTCTTAAAGCAAAAAGAAGCCATAAAAAACCCAGAAGATTAGTATGGGGTTTCTAAATAAGGGGATCATTAATTTTAAAGTAAAAAATCAATTTCACATCTCTGTTAAGGTATAATGTAAAATAATGTCAAATAAATGTACAGTAAAGCAGGATCTGGTTTTGCCTTAGTGAAGCTGTGAGTAAGTTGGGGAATTTGCTCATGCTCTTGAGCTTCCTTGTGGGACTGTACAAAATGCTGCACACTGCCTTTGCAGCCGGGGATCAATCCTTGTTCACCCTAGAAGAAGGAACATAATGCTTGCAGAGTCAGGCCCAATGAAGCAATTAAATCATGCTGTTATTCTAATGCTTTCTCCCACTGAGATCACAGTAAAGGAAGCTACTCATATTTTAGTATGTTTATAAGACATGAGTTACTTCTGTCATACCTGTTTTACAAAAGAGTTGAAGTTTTCAGGGTCAGGCTATCCAACAGAAATTAACCATTTCTTTCAATCCCTCATACAAATTAAGTAATGCCAAAGGGGTTTTGCTTGCTTTTGTGTTCATTTCCATTATCAAGATTTCTGTTACACAGTTTTGATTTTTCAATCCTGACACTGGGGAGCTGACTGACATGAACAGAAATTATTTCTGTCTCTTAAGATGGCAAGATCAGGCCACTATATTGTAATGTGAAAATAATAGTAGTGTGTTGTAACTGACAATCAGATGGTATTTTTATAAAAAGGCTTTTTTAGCTTGCTCCAATTAGTAATTTTCATACTCTTTTATCTCCCAAGTTGCTGTAAGAAAAATCTGAATAAGTCCACCATCCTACTCATTTCAAACTCTAAAAAGAAACATTGCCATGGAAGCCAGTCCAGGCAATCCCCTGAAAATTACAGGTTTTCTTCTCATGTGTTTATGTGTATGGCTCATCATTCACTAAATGAAACTCTTGTATCTCTGAATCAGTATATTCTCTGAATGTAAGTTTGTATATAGTATGAAAGTTACCTTATTTGTACATAGGCTTTCGGAAATAATCCCTTCTGTCAAAGGTTCTACTTCACTGTATCTACAGAATGTTTCTCTGTGGTGTGTATACTTTCTCACCTTATGATACTGATACAGAACTCTCCATATAGATCACTATGTAATTGAGTTGTTTAAGTATGAGTAATAGTGATAAGAATAAATGCTAATAAAAAGACTTAACAGGGTGTGATTTTGCTTGGTACCTTCTCTCTTACTTTTCTTGGACTTGCTATGGCTGTGAAAATAGTATTTTAACTACCTGCTCTGGCTTGAATGAGGATGCGTAGTGCTACTCTTCAGTGTAAACGCTCAAGCAGCACTAACTGCCTCTTGCCATGTCACTGTGCTATGTGCTGTGCATACACAGAGTAAGGAAAACGCCTGTGTTCCAGTAATCTTAAAATTTAAACAGGGTTTTTCATCTGTAGCCCATTGTGAATCCACTAGACAACTTCCTGGAGCTTTATATGTCTGGAGACCTGTGGTCCTGTTTGTGCCAATTTCCCCTACCTTTCTTTACTGATACATTAGTTCACAGGTTGTTTTGAACACCGTTCTTTAGTTTGGCACCTTCCCATTTAATCTTCAGGCTGCACAGTCTGTCATCCTTGCCAGCTATAACGTGTTTGGCTTTTTCTTAGTCTGGCATTGGATGAGTGATTCTTTTAAACAAAATAATGATCTTCAATAAATAACAGCAAAACAA